TAATTAATTAATATTACGAGAACTAACAAATTAGACCAGATTTCAAAAAAGATGACATGGCTTGCACACAATTACATATTTAAAAAAACACATAAATACCCTGCAAAAAATGCGATGCGACTAATCCGGGATGACTCCGGGAGCAATCGCAAAGGAACATGCGACTAATACCACTTTTGATCTCTTTATATGGAATGAACTGCTCGCTTTTGTTCGAGCATATCCTATGAAGAGACTAATAGGTCTCCTTAATACCCAAAGGGGTACAAAAAGCAACTAGTCACTTAAAAAAAAAAAAATAAAAATAAAAATTTGCGCCAGCCGCGATTCGAACCATGGTGCTCGGGTTTGTTAAGCGAAGTCCCCGAATTTACCAAGATTAATATTTTTCAATGATATTCAGGCAGCGCCGAGATTTGTAGTCGAAAAGTACACTGTGTAAATTTTGTTGCAAAATTCCAAAAAGGTTTTTTTAATCAACAATTGAAAATATTTGCAGTGTTTTGGAAATTTTTATTTTTCTTTGAAAGTAAGTGTCTGAATGAACAATTTTTTTTGGGTGCAGATTTAAAAAATATTAAGCTTTACAATGAAATTATTTGCGTTACAAAAATATTTTTTTTTTGCTTTTCAATAATTTTTTTACGAAAAATTGAACTTTTAAGCAATTTCTGCGCCTGGTGGACGAAAATTTTTAACAACTTCTGCATTTATCTATGATAAAAATGCGTGAATTTCGATATAGTTTGGTCGGAATGAATAATTATTTGCCAGCGACCTGAATCAGAATCTGAAAGTCCGGTAAAAAAACAATATAAATAACAAGGCCGTATTTAAGAAAACTAGCCTAACTTCGACAATTTTTATTCGATTGCAATAAATGGGCTATCAGTTTATTTAAAAATAGATTTAATGTTAGATAGTACTACATACTTTGAAATTGTGGAAATTATCGATGGTCAAAATTTAAAAAGTTAAAAAATCCCAACGAGCCAAGTCCGACAATAGATTATTATGTACCATTTTAAAGGCCTATATATTCTCTTCTCAGATCATATTCGATCTTTGAAATCAAATCAAAAATAGTCATTCAAAAACTCCTATATATTCTCTTCTCAGATCATATTCGATCCTTGAAATCGAATCAAAAATAGTCATTCAAAAACTCATAAATTGACAAAAATGCATTTTCTGACCTTTAAAAAATCGATAAAAAAGGCAATAATATTTCTCATAAAGACGAATACAATTATGGGCTAGGATCTTGAAATTTCAAGAAAAAAAAATTCGATGGGCACTCTAATATATGTACATACATCTATATATAGTATAAAGGAAAGTCTAGATTCTTTGTGCGCGGTAATCTCGTAAACTACTAAACGAATTTTGACGAGATTTTCTCTAATATACTAGGGTTGCCACCTGTCTAAAAAACTATAAGATCCGCACCGTTCGTTGTTTTACAAAAAATTAGGTGTAAAATGAAATCGATTGGCCTCGAGAAAAGCATGAATGTCTCATTTTTTGAATGGGGTTGCCACCTGTTAAGAAAATCACTATATTCAATCTTAATAAGCGTAGGAATCAGTTCTGCACCGTCACTGTCAAATGAAAAAACTTAGCCTCTAGACCCGTAATAATGTATTATTTTTCTGGGTAGGGTTTCCACCTGTTTAAAAACTGTAAGATCTTCACCGTTCGTTGAATAAAAGAATTAGATACCAAATGAGAGTGCGTGGCCTTCGCATGTACAAAAACTTTAATTTTTTTAGTAGGGTTGCCACCTATTTAAAATTACTATCTTATCCTTATGTAGTATAAAGCAAAGCGCCAATTTTTTGTCCACGCTAATCTTGAAAGCTACTGAACCGATTTGGATGAGATTTTGTTTCAATATATTCTGTATCGATAGGGGTATTACCTTTAGTACTTAGCATTTCTATAAGGTTGCCACCTGTCTAAAAACTCATAAGATCCTTGCGTTGAATTACAAAAGCTGAGATGTCAAATGAAAGAATTGGCCTCTAAATGTTCAACAATTTGTTATGTTTGAGTAGGGTTGCCACTTTTTTAAAAATTATAACATCTTCACCGTTCGTTGGACTTAAAAATGAGATAGCAAGTGAAAGAATGTGGTCTCTGGATGTGAAAAAAGCGTTAACTTTTTTTTTAGTGGGATTGCCACCTTTTTAAAAATTACAACCTTACGTATAATACGTGAAGGCATTTTTTATTATTGACATCAGATTTGCGCAGATCTTTCATTAAAAAAAATTTGTTCTCAAAGGAAAGGGCTTGGCGTTCAGATGTGCAATAAGGTTTTATATTTTCGAAGAGTACGAAAAATTATAAGATGTGGGCTGTTCGTTGGACTAAATAGTAAGTCATTAAATGAGAGGACTTGGCGTCCAGATGTGCAATAAGGTTTAATTTTTTGAAATAGAGTTGCCGGCTGTCTAAAAAACTATAAGATCCACGCCGTTCGATGCATTAAAAACATAAGATGTCAAATAAAAGGGCTTAGCCATTAAGTGTGCAATAAGGCTTTATTTTTTAATAGGGTTGCCACCTGCTGCGTATATGTACATACTTATTTACACATTCAACGCGTGGTGAAGCCTCGCGTATACGAGGCCGCTTAGTACATATATATACATATATTGTACTTGCACATTTGTTTCTACATATGCGAGTATTGTACGCACTTGCCGACTTCTAATGAAATTAATTAGTTTCCTTTTTAATACGACAACCGACAAGAGCTTTTGCTGTTAATGTCAGTAATTGTTTGTTGACTGTCTCTTTGACACATAATTATTGAAATATAGTACTGTAGTGCATGTGGTAAGCAGTAGTATATAGAACTTAGAGACAGAGTCTAGATGTATTCAGCGATATCTTTGATAGCTTTAAGGTAAATTATAAAGAGCTTCAAATACATATATGTATATTGAATAAAGGTAAGTATGCAAGGCCTTAGACAGTAGAAGCTCTTCGATAAACTTATCTTAACGTCAGTTTGCCCACTGATTAGCAAGCCATCGCTTATAAGTGAGAGGAGTTCTTTGGATGAATATAGGCTAGCTTTGAGTGAAAAGTTACAAAGTCTAGTTTTACAAATTTTACATCAGTGGAAAAAAACTTTTCTTAGCCATTTTCATTGAAAAACTTTGAATACAACATTTTGCGTGTTTAAAGCGAAGAAAATCACAAGGAGTCGATCTTTATTAGAAGTTTTCGTATTATTTTGTCCTAACCGGACTTTCAGTGCCGCTCTTGAATCTACCAAGGCATACATGCCTGGTTATCAAGTTATCTGGTTAAAAATTATTATTGCATAGTGCGGTTGTTCACGCTTGCCTGGTTATCAGGTTATGTGGTTATGTGGTTATATTTTTTATTCAGTTCACAACAATAAAATACACTTCGCAATAATTATTTTTAACTAGATAAGCTGATAACCAGGCAAGTGTGAGCAACCTCAGTGTATTTTATTGTTGTAAACTGAATAAAAAGTATAACCAAATAACCAGATAACCTGATAACCAGACAACTGTTTATTTATTATAAAATTCTTGCTGGTCGGGTTATTGATGATGTCATTTAAGATCAATATATCAAAAATTTTAAGAAAGTGGAAAGGTTAAAGTAAATAACTGTCCTTAATTTTTGGTAATTTAAAAACTGGACATACTTTTTTGGCAAGATAAAACTCGGACATAAACCTTTGAGCATTTCAAAACTGACCATAAATTTTGATAGTGTGTACATAAACTTGATATAAACTTTTGATAATTTTAAAACTGGGCACTATTTAATTTTCTGTCATTTACAATTTTCGGCAATCAAAGAACTGGACATAATTTTTGGTAATTTAAGAACTGGACAATATTGTTTACTCACTTAAAATCGTAATACTTAAATTTGCATAACAAGTTCTCGTAATTTAAGAACTGGACATAAATTTGTTTAATTTTACAACTGAACATAAATTTTATAATTTTTGTTAATTTTATAACTAAACATACATTTTGGGTTATTTATTTCAAATATGGGCATACATTTGGGTCATTTAAAGATTGTCATGAGTTTTTGGTTATTCAAAAACTGGAAATAATTTTTGGTAGCTTATAATTGGGCATACATTTTTGTCGCTAGAATAATATTTGTAATTTTGAAACTGAACATAATTTTTTGGTACATAAATATCGTCGTTTGAGCTACAAAACCGCGTATAAACATAATGCAAAACCGCGTATGTGAGGTTGGCCAAATTTTATAGTATAGAGTAGTATTTATAGTATAGAGTAAAAACACTGTTATTTCAAAATGGTTCTCGCTTTCATAAAGCAATCGCCTTTCAGGCTAGAATATTTCAAGACGAATGGATTTGAAAAAAAAACAAAGGATATAACTATTCGAAGTTACCCACCTAAATATAACATAGAAATACTTTCTGGCTGTATAATTGTATTATTATAATTTTTTATGGGAATTGAAAGGCTATCCACACAGTTTGATAATTTTTTATGAGTCCACTTTATTTAAAAAGCGATATACTTAAAATAATGTGTCTTAGTAAAATTTTGAAAATATTGAATGTTCGATAATTTGAAGCTACACTGGCGCTCAAAAGTGGATGAATGGTGTTTTGTTTTTAGCATATACAATGTTTTTCAAGCTAAATATTTTTATATCCGAGCGCATAACAAAGAAAAAAATAAATAAAATAAGAGGGAACAAAAAAAAAAACAACAGAAAAAAATAAAAGTTATGTATCGTGCTGATGAAATTCGATGTGCTGGATGCCCACAAATAACAGCAAGCACGTCTGCTCGTTCAGCCACTGCCATACATACGAATTTGTTCTCAAATGTTCAACTTGAATCACATTTCTTACAATCGGCTTATTGACCATGAAAATATCAAACCACAACATGGTTGAAAAAACCATTGTGCTTTTGGCTCAGTGTTGTCGCTAACGTTTTTGTTGTACTTACCCTTTCTTCCAAACTGCTTAACGAATGTTTGATGGTGATAAGTTGATAAGAGTTGATTTTGTTACAGTTTTATTTCATTTGCGCTTTGAAATTTTCATTTCATTTTTTCATTTAAAAATGCAAGCAATGCATTGGAAATTACGTTGAATAATTTTTCGTTTCACAAAATTTCATCACAACTTTTTAATTAAATGCATTTCTTTTATATACTCGAATCGTTTTCAAAATTCTTTAAGAATGAAAAAAAAAATACACTAGGATTTTGCTTTATTTGTACGCTTTTCGACGATTATCTTTCCTTACACCCACAAATATTTGAATGCACTTCATTTGTAAATGAAACAAAAATATAATAATTCGTTGAAACAGCCAACAATCTGAGTTACTTGCGACGCCACTCCGAACGTAGATAATTTGCAACCTGTTGCCAATTTTACGTACGTACGTACTTAGGTGCTACTACCGCTGTCGTCGGTGTCACCGCCACAACTGTCACTCACCCCGTGCGAGAATCGTTAGGCTACATCTACCGAATATAATGAATACATATCGAATTACGCATCAATTACGAACTCCACTTCTCAGCCTCAGCCTCAGCCTCGGATCCAGACTCGCTCCCGATAGAAGCGACAATTGAATGGAGCGAGCAAAAGGTACAAAAACAAGCCGTACAAAAACAAAATAACAGCAAATATAAAAGTATAATCAAATGAGAAAACGACTAAAAAAGTACGTACATTGTTTGTAAGCGCACTTCATATTTAAGTATTACAGACATGCACACACGCACACATTCGAAATGCATTTAAGTAGGCAAGCAGACGGACAATTGAAAAAAAAAAACGCGAAAAAATCAACAAACGCGAAAGTAAACAACTCAAACAATGGGACTCCAGATAAGGTGCATTGAATACAGGGAGCGAGTACCTAGTAATTAAGCACGGCATATCGCACAGCACTGATAACACACACACTAAAATATTTCGACAAACGAGTGCATGAGGCGTAGTAAATATAAGAGAGGACTCATTAACGAACTAGTTCATATACAAACACTTTGGGATTGGAGATTATAGGTCCATTCAATGTCAAAAAATTTTTACGAATTGTTATTAGTACTTGCGAGTTTTTACTGGAAATGCATTCAATAGCCCAAAATAATTGCAAGAGAGAGCGAATTCGAGAGCGTAAGTTGCAGGTAAAAATTTTACTAGCATGAATTTGCAGTAGTCAAAAAGTAAGGTTATGTTTCAAATTCAAATGTAAACAAACTTTTTAAGAGGATGATTTGATGAAACATAATTAGTAAAATGAAAATATAGATGAAAAATTTAAATCTATTATATATTTTTTTACTTTTATGACGATGGGAACTCTTCCCAATTAAAAAGAAAATTGCGCGCCAAAACTTAACCGTAAGAAAGTGTCAAAATGGCTTAAATTGCAAGTTTTTACTAGTTTTGCGTTCAATAACTTTTTCTGAAAATTTTCTCTTGTTCTCAATTTTACTCTCTATTTTTCCTTTACGCTCTCGCTGCAAGTACTTACTGGAAAATTTATTGAATGGACCTTATGTAGGCAACAATATTCACTGTCAGTTAAAGCTCACTTAGTCAAGACTTAATTTTCGTAACTTAATTTATCTTAATATTTTGGCCAGCCTGTTGTATGGGAAACTGTGTTGGCGGTTAGTAAAAACTTAACTTATCGTACGAAACTTAAGATCCTCTAGGTTTTAGATTTTTATGTTACGGCCCTATGAAAATTGAGAGCGGTGAGAGTATTAGGCTTGCCAGATTTTCGTGCTAGCATTTCTCAAAAATTAATGAACGTAAACATATTTTTTGCATGAATTTTTTTGATGTGGCAAACTGTCAAACAGCTGAAAAAGAAAACACAAATGCAAAATATTTCCGCTTCTGGATTAAGTTGACGGGTTGAGTAATCATTGATGATTTTTACTGTAAGTTAAATTAAGTTAAGTCTAGTCTAACTGAGCATTTACTTTGACAGTGCGATCTAGCTGTGTGTTCAATTAAGACCAGTTTTGAGTTCAGCTAAAAGTAGTCTGATTTTTTACGCGACTCAATGTATCAGCGAGTCTATGCGGCGCACACGAAATTTACTATTCAATTGACTATTTGCCGAATTAAAATTTTTTTAATTGAAAGATAATTACATTCTTAAGGGGTTTAAGGAGCTACTGTTTTAATTTTTATTTTTACACGCTTTTAATTTAACTTGGTCACTATCTACTACTATACTAATTATTTTAGTGCAAAGTGCAGAGAAAGTAGCACATTTGCAATTTCGAAGATGATCGATTCTCCTGTTCCTGTTCATAAATGTCACACAATAAAATTAGTTTAAAAAATGAAACGATTAGTTTAAGAAACGGAGTTTAAAACGAAAAAATTGCACCAAAACTATTTTTTTTTGAATTTTTAGAAACATTTTAAGTATGCAATTTTATAGCCTAAGAAATTATTAAAAATCAACGTAACTGATTATCACTTGAAATTCGCGCATTGTTATACTATAATTTAATAGGCCATAAAACTGGCTATCTAAATTTTTTCCAAAAATTAAAAATTTTAATTTTAGTGAAAATTATTTTATAACATTGAACATTTTTCTTTTGCATTTTTTCCATTTTATGGAAACCCTATAATTGTTTTTAACTTGTTTTTATTACATAACATTCATTAACAGGAAAATTGATTTCTTCAAAATTTCTATCTTCTCTGCACTTTGCCCTAAACTTTTTTTTCTTAAGAATTGAATTAATTTTCAATTCAAAAAATTAAATAAAATCCAGCAAGTATTGCTTTTTGAATAGTAAATCGAGCGTTTGCACCACTGTGCAGTGTGTGTGTGTGTACATATGTGAGCCAAGTACAGATGTGTACGTTAACGAAAACAAATTGAAACTTAAGAATAACTATAATTAGTATAAACGATGACAATAACATCAGAAACAATAGAAGTCGTCTGAAGTGCAGTGAAACGATAATAAAAAAAAAACCAAAGAAATGATCTACCAATCGAGTCGCAAACCTCTGGGCATTGTTTTGCTGTTTGATGTTTTTCAGGAAGTCAATTCAGCTTCACTCTCTAAGTATGTAACGTAAGTGTGAGTGTATGCGTATATATGCGAGGTGTTTCGTGTCGATTTATGTTTTATTTTTAAACTGCATACTGTCATGCAGCTGTCACATTTTACAAATATCAAAGAGCACACAAACTGACATATCAACAAAATTACAAGTGTGACATTTATTAAGTCATATTTAAGTAAAGGAAACTAGTAAGAAAGCGACTCTTTTATTTACATTTAATCAAATTACTATTCTACTTATATTTAAGTACATTCGCGGAAAAAGTCTATAATTCCCTTAAATCGTAAATTTACATAAAAGTAGTTTGAAAGGTTACTCAATAGCTTATCGACCTTGAATGCGTGCATTGGCTGTGTTTATTGTTTCTAAAAAAATAATCTCAGTCATTACATAAGCCTATTGTTACTCGTACAGTCATCGTATTTAATTGAGTTAATGTCGCGCATAAACTATTCAAAGCAAGTACGCAGCCGATAATAGATAAATGGTATCGCTGGCCGATAATTGCGATTCGACTGTGATTACTCATAGCCAAGCTAAATTAAACTGAATTAAGTTAATAAAATCAGTTCATTGCATTCGAATAGAAACTTCACGTTAAAGTAATGTTTATCAGCTGCGATTTTATTACAGAAAAGAACGGAGCATGTTTTTTTTTATCCAATGAAATTATCTATTAAAATTCTTATTAAAAGATCTTGCATTTCGCAACTTAAAATTTCCAAAAACCCCCGTAATAGTGTGAACAACTTTTTGAGTTGTGTAAAGCGTTTGTCTGTATATTAGCAGCACTCAAATGCCATTATTATTGCTAAGCTCACACATACAATGGCAAAGGCTTACTCACTCAATAAAATCGCTTGATTTAGGTTTCGAAAGAAAAGTATTTTGTATTGTAGTTAATACTATAAATAAACAAATTACAGAACAAAATTATATAATATGGCAGAATTGGTTGAGCAGAGCCAAAAAATGCCGACTTTACATCGCCGGAGGCCTTCCTCCTCTGTTACTAGCAACGCGAACCGCGTTGAATAGTTTTAGTGCAGGAGCGTTGCTCTCCTTTCGAACGACATAGCTTAGCCAGCGGTGCCGCTGAATTTTAATTAGCTGCACTATGTCTTTATCGTTGTAAAGCTCAATACAGCTCATCGTTAAATCGTCTGCGGTATTCGCCATCGCCAACGCGTAAAGCCCCATAAATCTTTCGCGGAATCTTTTTCTCGAAAACTCCAAGAGCCGCTTCATCAGAGCTGCAAAATTGCATACTCAAAATATGTATTTCTAGGAAATCTATTTAAAAAGCTCGAAATTTTTACGAAAGTTTGTTGATACATATTTAAATGTTGCGCAAATATTTCATCTTGTATTAATACGAGTTTTGTTAAAGTATAAACTGCATTTTTATAAACAAAATAATTTTAAGATAAATGGCCAATCTTGGCAATATGTGCTTGTCGTAAAGTTTTGATAAGCACTTGAAATACTATTAAAATGTCAAATTGTAATACTGAATTCAAAGAAGATGTCTCTTTTATCCATTCATAATAACTTAAAAAAAATTGTTTGTCAAGAAGTGTACCTTAAAATATGTGCATACACATTTGTGTTAAAAGTGTAAAATATGTAAATGTACCTACATAAACTTTCATCATCAAATCATTGGTCTTGAAGGAAATCTATGTTTGCATGTACTAAGAAAATATGTAAGCAAGCTAGCAGATCCGGCGAACTTCGTCCCGCCCAAAATTAATTTTTTGTAATGAAACATATTGGTCCAACATTTTGGTCCGACATTTTCACCAACAGTTCACGTTCATGATTTTTAGTGACGCATTTATCTTCTAATATTACGGTTTGGTGGTTGTCAGAAGGCATATTTCCATTGCCATCTTAAATAACCTAGCAAAATTGTATATGCATACAAAGATACGTAATAGCTTCAATGCGTTTGAAAGGCACCACGTCCTTTTGTAAAATAGCCGGAATTTTCTCTAAGATTGTGGGATTGATTTCATATTTTTCCATAGCAAATTCCAATACTCTATCATGAACACTTCCAGAAATATGCAGTGTGAAAGAGATGTAAATCGATGTGCAGTTTGCAGTG